AATCAGGCTCCTTGTGCTCCAGTTTGCCTCATCTGAGATTCCCAGTCATAGACTTTAAGGTGTTTAACATCAGCCACATAATAGCATAACATTCTGGAATTTTCTCTCCTTTTACCAGAGTAAGCATTAAATTGAGACAAAGAGCTTTATTTCATAATTTAAGAGTTCCTGGAAGATTTTTTTTTATTTGTTATGAAAAGTAAATGCATGATGGTCACAGTGTCATCTATGTGAGAATGAACCAAATGCAGGTGGAAAGTATTATGAAGCGAGGACTAGGACTTGGGGCTCTGGGCTTTCTTACTTTAATTTCAGCTGGGTTAGCCTCTTTTATTTTTTATGTTGAAGTATTGAAAGATTATTGACTTGACTTTACATACAAGTGGCTGTTGCATCCTTCCAGCTTAGCTGAAGTGCAGTCTAAAACTTGCTGGCATATTCTGTACAGTGAGTGTATATCTTGTTAAAAAAAAAAGTATAATGTGAGTAGTATTAAAATAACCTTTCTTGTTTTCTATTTGTTAAGATTAGGTAAGGAATGACTACAACACCAGTGTTTAGGGAATCCATTAATCATTTGGCTTGTGCGCAAGGCGCATTGTTTCAAAGGTTGCATCCCAGAGGATTAAAAATAAAAAGCTTGTTGTATTTCATAAACATATTTGAAGATTAAGTCAGACTAAATCTCAACCAAGTCAAGATGATTTATTTAGCAATTTAAGTGTTCTTGACATCAGTTTGAAAACTAAAGGCTAAAACAAAGATGAATCTATTTTACAGTTCAACTATTATATTTACCCAAACATTAATCACTATCTCATAAGTTCTTTTAATGTACAGTAGAACTACATCTTCATATATTCTTTGGCTAGACTACAATGTACCACTCAGGCATTCACTATGTGCTAAACTGAATACTGATAGGCAGTATACCTGATCAATGTAATAAAAATACTATAGAGTGTATGTGTAATTTTCTGTTCCTGCCATCCAGCTCCCAAATAATCACACAGAGACGTATTAATTATAAATGCTTGGGCAGTAGCTTAGGTTTGTTACTAACTTACTTTTACAACTTAAATTAACCCATGTTTTTATCTATGATCTACGATGAGTCTCAATACCATTCTTTCACACGCTGTGTTCATCTTCCTTTTCCCCACATTTCCTGGAGACTCTGCCCTTCTTCATCCCAGAATTCTCTCCCTGTCTGTAAGTCCTGCCTAACTTTTTCTGCCTAGCTATTGGCCATTTAGCTCTTTCTTAAACCAATAAGAGCAACACATCTTCACAGTGTACAAAAACACTATTCCAAAGTAGAGTTTTTCTATATTTTTAAAGGACTATTTTATAAATATACTACTTTAAGTGAGAATGCAATATATAGTTCCACAACTTTGAAAATAATTAATACTCCATCCTTGACCTATCTAATCAACTACAGTATTAACAAGGAGGATCACTCGGTGAAAAGTAAAATTTCTCACCTTTCACAATTTATTTTACTTAACATTTATAACTATAGAACTGGATCTCTTTATACTGACATTATCACAGCTACTTCCAAAGCTGAAGCAGGAAGATCACAAGTTCAAGGCCATCTTGGATTGTTAAAGCCTGAGAGGCAAGCTCCCAGGACTGCACCCAGGGTAGTAAAAAGAATGCCTTCTCAGAGCATTATTCTTTGGGTTCGACTTTTCTGTCTGAGGGTAAATAAGGAAACACACTTTCTGGTGGCAACTTAAGAAAACAAAAGAGCAAACACTCACTTCCCTGATCGTTACCTTCTCTTTTACTTCATGCTGAATAATCTCTTTCTTGACAATCTCTCTACTATAATTACATCTCTTTACATACAGCCACATAACACTTCTCTCTTCATCTCTCATCTCCTCTCATAGAAAACGCCTCTGGACAGATATGAATCACACTTTAGGGGTCACAGCACTCCTTGAGTAAATAATAAAAAACAGCCAAACTGATCATACAGTTTCTCTCAGGCTAGGGCAGTGAATAAAGTAAGCAAGTAGTTCTGAGTGGTCAGGGTTCCCAGACAGAAAGTGACATTGGAATTCAGTACTTAAACAATAAATAGTTAGTTGACTGAATCTTTAGATTGGGAGAGCGTGCATAAAGTCCATTGCTGAGAAAGTTATATGTAGTTTAGTTGCTTCATGCTCTGAAGGGGCAACCAGTTTGCTTTGTACTTGTTTTGAAGTCTAAAATTAGCTGTATAGTGACTGAAAATACTATTACTTTCCTGTGTCAGTCTGAGTAATAAAAAACATCCTCATATTATTTCCATTCATCAGATTATACAGATTAAGCAGAAATATTCTTCCTGACCATCCACAGCTATATTGTGTCCAGTAGATGAAATATATACATGAAGTAAACACACAAGCAGTGGGAATAATACCCGTAGCTGATTTTAGTGTCACATGAGAAGAATTACAGACAGAGACAATTATGTACGGCCAGTGACCCCATGGCTTTGCCAAGTGGGGCTCCCCATCAGAGTCCCTCATGTGGTGGTAAAGTTAGCCTGTTGAACACTAGTTGTCACCTGCTGTATGCTCCCATGGCCCTCCAGCATTGGATAATGTAGCAAGACCATTTCTTAAAATGAATATTAAAAATAAAGGAAGGGCATAGTTTGATGATAGGGCACTTGCCTAATACATATGACTACCTGGGTTCAATTACCAGCACAACACATAGACATACTCTATAAAATTTGATAAGCATAGAATGGTGAAAATGGTCATATTTAGATGTTACCCCTTGGAGGTAACAAATGTATCTTGAGAAGTTCATTTTTAACTTTTTCCCAGTTTAAAGTAAATAGATATGTACAAATATGCACATATGTACACATATATGTGTATACATACATACATTTCCTTGGATGTGGGAGAGGTGTGGGAAGTGGGGAAGATGTGAAAGTAGAAGGGAAGACCATCAGAAAGAGGGGAAGGTAAGGAGATCAGTATTATCAACGCCTATTAAATATATGTATGAAAATATCACAGGCCTGGCAGCAAAGGGGGCTGAGACAGGAGGATGGTTGCAAGTTCAAGGCCAATCAAGGGCAACTTAATGAGACACTGTCTCAAAACAGAGTAAAGCAAGAGCTGGGGACATGGCTCAGTGGCACTTGGCTAATGTGTGCAGAGCCCTAGGTTTGATTCTCAGTACTGTGGTAGGGGGCTGAGGAAAGACCACAAAGAAACTCCATTAGTTTGTATGACTGATATTCTACCTTTAATATGAATCAGATAGAAAAATACTCATTTATTTTTGAGACAGGGTCACACTGTTGCAAATTCATTGTCTTAGTTGGGGTCTCTATTGCTGCAACAAAACACCATGACCAAAAGCAGATTGGGGAAGAAAAGGTTTATTGGCTCACACTTGAGCATTACTATTCTCCAATGAAGGAAGTCAGGACAGGATTCCAGGAGCAGCATCCTGGAGGTAGGATGCTGATGCAGAACCATGGGGAACACTGCTTACTGGCTTGCTCCCATGGCTTTGCTCAGCCAGCTTTCTTGTAGAACCCAAGACCACCAGCCCAGGAATGGAACCATCACAATGGGCTGGGCCCTCCTCCATCAGTCACTAATTAAGAAAATGCCCTACAGCCTTATTTTATAGAGATATTTTCTCAGTTGAGATTTCCTCCCTTCAGATAACTCTAGCTTGTGTCAAGTTGACATAGGAGCAGCCAACACACTCATAATCTTCCTCCCTCAGACTCCTGAGTGCTGGTATTAACAGGCATGCACCACCATGACCACCCAGCCTTTTTTAATCTTTAATCTTTCCACAGTGAGTATGCATTAGGGGTTGGAAATGAAATACAGTTCTTTTTGAAGATTTGGTGTTGTTTGTGAAGAACTACCTGAATCCTTCACTTTCTAACCTCTGCTTTGATTGGGACCCCTTCTTCTCTGACTGGCTGTGTTGATCTACCTGTCATAGACAGGAAATGGTGGTGCAGAACTGGCACCAGGAGCCTCCTGACCAGGGTCTCTTGGAGAGCCTGTGAGCCCTACACAATAGCTCTTTAATGCTCAGCTATTACCTTTAAACAAGGGATACATGCATATGTGCATGCGTGGGGTGTGTGTGTGTGTGTGTGTGTGTGTGTGTGTGTGTGTGTATGTACTCCCAAAGAAAATCCAACTGAGCTGTAAGCCAGGTACTTGGTGTTAAGTAGAGACCTACCAGTTGCTGTTTGCAGAGAAAGAATATCAGATAGCCTCTGAGAAATGAATGAAGGGAACTTGGCCAGGATGAGACAGACTTAGTAATGAGTTATCTCATCATAGGTCTCAGCCAAGAACAACACGCACCTTTTCCAGAGACTGAATTTTTCTTCCATTCTGGGAGGTAGAGGACCATGTGAAATATGTTGCCCAGGCTTTCAGATGAGCATTTTTCACTAGCAGTCTTTTGAAATCTGTTCAAAACAAAGTACATAGAGCACTAGTGGGGTCATTGGAGGCTTTCAGCAGCAGGAACAACATCTCTGTAAAAACAAGCTAGTCTGGACTGGCAAAATGACTCGGCAATAAAGATACCACCAACCTGAAGACCACAGTTCAATCCCAGGACCCACGTAATGGAAGGAAATAATGGGCTCCCACAAGTGGTTCTTTGTCCCCCACACATGCCATGACAAGTACATCCATATGCAAAATAACTAAATATAATATATAATTTTTAAAAAATCCACAAGCTAGTCATGTGTCAGTCTCCTGCCTCAGTAGAGAGCTCTCCATCTTATATCAATATGTTCAGCCATAATCCCTCCCCAATTCCCAGTAAACAGTACTGTGAAAGTACTTCTCTTTATAATTATGAAAATTGCAATCATGTTGAGAACAGTTTTAGATTTGGTTTGGGAAACATAAAGAATATTTGAACTTCTCATTTCGGATTAACCTTGACTTTCCTCTTGGTTTTTTTTTTTTTTTTTTTTCTTCCCACCTCAGATCATCCAGCCCCTCTTAGAACTTGACCAAAATAGAAGCAAGTTAAAGTTGTATATTGGACACCTGACAGCCCTCTGCCATGACCGAGACCCCTTAATCCTTCGTGGACTCACTCCACCAGCTTCTTATAATGCAGATGATGACCAGGCAGCTTGGGAGAATGAGCTGCAGAAGATGACCCAGGAGCAGGTAAGTCTTGCTTCAGCTGTGACCCAAACACACATCCCAGTCTGGATGGATAGTGTTTAGGGGTCAGGACATGGTTCCAGGTATGTGTGCATTTGCACATACGGAGGCCAGAGGTCACCCTCACTTATCATTTCTCAAGAGGCATGAGCTCACTCCTTTGTCTAGTCTGGCTCTCCCTTCCTTTGCAGGACTGGGATTACCCAGGCACACCACCACACCCATCTTTTTATGTGAGGCTGGGGACCAGATCCTCAGATTTGTAAAGCAGTACTGAGCCATCTCTTTAGGTCCCCCAATATCATCTTTGATTGGTTTAGAATTTTTAATTTGTTTTCAAATTAACAGAAAGCACACATCACATTATCTTTTAAATATGTGCTGAGTTAAACATGTATTACTCATCTTTTTACATGTTTTTGGTAAATTTTCACCGGTTAGAATTTTAGGTTAATGTGGTACCCTGGAATGTCCTCTTCTGCATGCTCCTCAGTGTGGCCACCAGAGGGGAGGTCGTCATTGTAAATACATCCTGGATCTCAACACCTGCAAAGTGTGACTAAGCAGTGCCATCCTGTAGCCTAATTTTCTGGGTCACTCTTGGGAGAGTTGGGATCTGGTTAGCATAAACTTGTACCCCAGGATCTGTGATGCATTCCAACCTTCTAACCCCATCAAAGCAGCAGCTTGAAGCTAGGACTGGAAGTGGTCACTGCAAGGGGAGGTTGGGGGTCTCTGGACCCCAGAACAGCTACCAGCAGGTGAGCAATAGATGTGTGGTAGTTGAAACCATCAAAACGGGTACCTCACTTCTCACAGAACTGGGTGGGGGGGAGGAGGAGTCATCCTCAGATTGGTCTTTCATATCTTCCTCAGTTCCACTTTGGACCCCTTTTTTTGTTTGCCTTCTCCAAACTAAAGCAGATGTTAAATTATTCCACTATTCTCCTTCCTTCAGCCAAAGCCCTGGTAAAACAAGGTCTGGAGATGATGGGGAGAAAAGGGCCCAGGGGTTTGGCCTCAACCAGATTGGTCCCCACCCTCTCCTGGCACCCCTTGGTTTTATAAAGGGAAGGATGAGGGACACATAAAATACCTCTCCTGGCCGTATTTTATTGTTAATAACAGTAATTAGCATTGTCATATTACGGAATTGTTAGTGTCAGAGCCTGAACCCTGGAAGCCTTAAAGCACCAGGAGTGCCTACTCATCCTAATGGACCAAGTAAACAGACAAGTAACAGTGAAAAGCAGAAAAGCGGATTGATTCAATGTGGCCACAGTGAGGAAAAGAACAAAGTTTCAAAGACACCCCCTTCCTTCAGTCCATTTTCTGGGTTCTTACATGAGATTTAGGCTTAAATACAAGGCCAAGTATGGGGCCTTCGTATCACTGTCAGAGCTATGTGAAATCTTTTTTCAGGAGACAAGTTCCTCTGATTGGCACCAAGTTTCACCCTTTTCTTTATTGTGGCATGAAATGTCTGGGGAAATTCCGATTCCTTATAGACCATTGTGTCAATGGTGCAATAACCAAAGCAAAGGCATGGGTGCCTCTTTAGCATATATTCATTCTTGAGCTGGGGATGTGGCTTAGTGGTACAGTATTCGCTGAGCAAGCAAGAGGAGGCCTAGAGATTAGATCCCCAGAATCCATATAAATGTTAGGTGGGCGTGGCAGCCCCCTTAATGCCAGCCTCAGAGAGCCCATAGAAAGCTAACTAACAAGACTAGTTGTATTAGCAAGCTCTAATTTCATTAAGAGACTCTGCCACAAAGAATAAAGGAAAAACCTAATGAGGAAGACTCCCAATATTGACCTCAGACCTCCACATGCATATCCATGTGTTCACACTCATACACACAAAAAAAGAAGAAGAAAAAGGAGTATCTTCATTCTTGCTAGGACAGAACTAGATGAAATGTTGCATTCTTGTTCCACCATCTCCTCTATCCCTTCATTCTTTACCTAGGTTCAAGATTATTAACCAAACAGTCCTAGCAGGTATTTGTAGGCCTTAAAGAAGTGCTACCTGATCCAGAGTCACTTGCTCTGATTACAGAGGACAAACTCAGAAAGTTAACCTGCCATAGAACTTCATGTTGAAATGGTAGCCACTGAAGAAAGGGTGTTGTAATTTAAGAAAAGCGTCCTGAGAAAGACGCCATGCAACAGGGTTCAAGCACGGTTTGGGTTTTTTTTTTTTTTTTTTTTTTTTTTTTGGAGGAGGAATCTTAAAGGGAGGAAGGGGAGTGGGGAGACCCTCCATGGACAGGGCAGAAAAAGAGGGAGAGAGAGGGAAAAAGAGGAGGATGGGAAGGGGGCAGGGGCCCTTAAAATAGGATCATAGTGAATGTGTACAGGTGGTGCTCTTAGTGGCTACAGCTGAGGCCATATCCTGTCAGAACCCCAAGGACAGGCCAGTACAGATGCCTAAATACTAACAAAGGGTGTCAAGGGTTTGGGGCAAGGTGATGTCATAAATCTTCAGCTATCTTTAGAGAGCTATGACTATATTACAACATACTGGTAAGTAACTTTTTAAGCTAAAGGACCATTAGAAAACCAGCATGATGGGTGGGGGAGACAGAGGGATCAGAAGTTCAAGGTCACTCAAACTCTTGTCTCTTGGCAAAACAAGACAAAACAAAACATAAAAAAAGATCATTGGGTAGAATTAGCTTGAGTTAACACTCAGTGAATGTCTGTGAGAACGTTGTATCAATCAATGACTGGGGATTCCTTCATGTCTGGGAACCAAAGAATTCTAATCTGTAAAACTGACCTGTATTTTGAGTTTTAGGATTTAAAGGAAGTGCAGTAGTGTACATCATTAATCCCAACACTCAGGAGCCAGAGACAGGAGAATTACCACAAGTTCCAGGCTAGCCAGGGCTATATAATAAGACCCTTGTCTCAAGAAATCAAAACAATACAAAAATGGTCTTGTTCCTGTTAAAATCATAATTGTTTTCCTTCCTTCTCACCTTCATGGTTGCCATTCCTTCCTTTCCCCTCTAATTTGCCAAACCTGTGTGATTACTACTCGAGTAAGTTTGCCACCTTGAGTTCAGTTTACTTAGTTACGTCTTCTCTCCGTGGATCCACAATTGATACTTCCTAGGTAATCCAACTCTTGTTTGGGTAGAGGTCCTCACTACCACTTTCTGTATCCTAAACATAACTAGCTTCTTGGGCACTAGGATTGTTGTCAGTTTGCAAGATAAATGAAGAAAATGCACACAGTATTTGAAGGTTCCCAACATCTTATGCTGATACAAAGGTAAAGCATATTTATGGCTGTTGTGCAAAGCTTTCTTTATCAAAGACCTTCTTCAGAGTCTGCTTGATTAGGTAATTGTAGCCCTGCTCATCATTCGTTTCTGTACAGACTGCATTAAAAGACAGATTTGGAAAACAATTCAGTGCATACTTCTTCAGGTTTTCTTTGGGGCGGGGGCCGGGAAGGCTTACAAGTAAAGGAATTGTGTACTTTCCTAAATAAAAGGGGAGAACTGGGCCAGGCAGGTGGTGTGCACTTTCAATCCCAGTACTTGGAAGACAGGCAGATCTCTGTGAGTTCAGGGCCATCCTGAACTACTTACCTAGTTCCAGGCCAGCCCAGGTTACAGAATGATTCTGTCTTTAAAGAAAAAAATTCAGAAAAGAAACAAGATGTTTATCTTTATCCATTTTTCCCTTGTTAGAAGCATAATATCACTACTTAGGTAAATCATAAAGAAAAGTTTGAGTTCATAGTTCTGGTTCAAGGTAAGGACCTGCATCTAGTGGTGGCTTTCTTGCTGGCAGCATCCCCAGGCAGTGCAGCAAGAGACCTCCCCTAGCTGGCTTTGACACCAGACCTATTCTGGAAATAATGCATTAATCTGTTAATATATTAGTGTGTAAGTGAGTGAATCCGGGCACATGGGACACTCTCAACCTCTGAAAATTCCCACCTGGCTTCACCTTTTCTCTAATAGGGATTAAATTTCAACCTAAACTTCAGAGGCAGCAAACTATACTCACACTGTATGTAGTAATGCTCCTTCTGCTACCCTGTTTTGACCAAATAGAAACAAAACACAGTGGGTGTATCTGAAGTAATGGATTCCCCCATCTTAAAACACACTATACCGGAAAAGTAACAACAGTGGGATCAGATGGATCAGGAAAAAGAATCTGGTTCCGTCTCTCTCCAGCTTTGGGACATCAAATAATTCTTTTGTTTGTTTTGCTTTTTGGTTTTTCAAGACAGGCTTTCTCTGTGTAGCCCTGGCTGTCCTGTAATTCGCCCTGTAGCCCAGGTCGTCCTTGAACTCAAGAGATCACCTGCCTCTGCCTCCCAAATGCTAGGATTAAAGGCCACCACTGCCCAGCTATAATTCCTAACCTTTGTGAACCCCAGTATTTCAGCTCTACATTATATTACTTCTTAGGATTGCTTGACATCTAATGAAATAACATTACTTATTAGCATGTTAAAAGAGATGAAAGTGGATACATAGGAAGTGAGGGCCAGATCTTCTCTTTGACACCAGATTTTGCCCTCTCACCAGGTAGTTGTACATTTGGCACTTGTTTGTAAACAGCTTGTAGTGTTACAAATAATAAAAATCAGAGGCTGGAGAGATGGCTCAGTGGTTAAGGGCACTGGTTGCTCCTCCAGAGGACCTGGGTTTGCTTTCTTGCACTCATATAGCCACTAACAACTGTCTGTAACACCAGTTCCAGGGGAATCTGATGCCCTCTCCTGGACTCCCTGGGCATTGCATGCACATGTGGCACAGGCATATATGCAGGCAAAACACAATGCACACAAAATGAAATAAATAAATTTATAAAGGATAAAAATGAAGAGTTCTAGTATATTGAAAAGGTAAATAAATATTTTCTTTCAAAAATGACCCAGAGATAAGAATATACATACCCAGGTTGACACACTGAAAATTAAAGGCCACTGCCTTGAATAGATTTGAAGCAGAGCCTGGAAATAAGTTAGG